AGCACAATTCTAGAACTCAAAAAGGCCTCTCTCTGCAGCTGCATTCCCACCAGTTGTAGTAACATAATTTCTTCAAGCTCCAACAGGTGGCTCTCACCCCACCTGCCTGAGAAGACTTGTTCCTGCAAATGGATTCTGAATACCACCAGCAGCTGCAAAACAATAAATGTCTTTTTGTTTTTACATTCTTGTTGTCTGACTGATTCTGAATTCAAACCCTGACTCTTGACAGAATAATATGGCCAATATGTATTCAAAGCCGACACAAGAGTGGCTCTCTGCCATCAAGGGCACTTTAGTAAATCTGGACATTCAGATGCAACTCATTTTGACCATGTTCCATGCCAGGTTTGGCACATCCACCTCAGAGACTCTTCCTCACACCACACCTGCAGCACGACCCATACCTTCAGCGAATCCCATGCCTTTAATGAGTCAGAGGCCTTCTCCGAGACTCAGTTCTTCAGCGGGTCCCATGCCATCAGTGGGTCCCATGTCTTCAGTGGGCCCCATGCCTTCAGCAGGTCTTACATCGGCTGCTACCTCCAAGATCCCCATGTCGGCTGTTGCCTCCAAGACCCCCATGTCAGCTGCCACCTCCAAGACCCTTACGTTGACTGCTGCCTCCAAGACCCCCAAGTCAGCTGCCACCTCCAAGACCCCCATGTCAGCTGCCACCTCCAAGGCTCCAATGTTGGTTGCTATCTCCAAGACCCCCATGCTGGTTGCCTTCTCTATGACCCCCACATCAGCTTCCACATCCAAGACTCCGACGTCAACTGCCACTTCCAAGGCCCCCACATTGGCTGCAGACCCCACAACCCCCTCGTCAGCTCCAGATCCCAGAGCCCCCTCATCCGCTGCAGACCCCATGACCTCCTCATCTGCGCCAAACCCATTCATCTGCACGCAAGTTGCAGAACTCATGATTTCCACCCATCCATTGTCCTCATGGTCCCTTCATCTGCAGCTGATTCATTCGTTCCATCTGCAGCTGAGGACTCATCTCTGGTGTTGCTAGCATCTTCTCCTCTGCCTTTGGTGGTGCGCATTTAGTCCAGCGAGACAGAACCTACTGAGGACCCACATCAGCTGACAAAGTGGCAGATACTTTATGAGGCTGAACCTCTTGTATACTAATCTCTGCTGATGAAGCGGCGGAGACATGGTGACAGCCCACCTTCATGTCTCCTGGAAGGTTCCACCACACCTCTGGAGGGTTCTACCATGCATCTGTAGAGTTCCACCATGCCTCTGGAGGGTTCCACCATGCCTCTGGAGGGTTCTATCACACTTCTGGAGAATTATACCAGTCTCTGGAGAGTTCCACCATATCTTTGGCAGGTTCCACCATGCCTCTTGAGGGTTTCACCATGCCTCTGGAGGGTTCCATCACACCTCGGGAGGGTTCCACTATGCCTCTGGAGGGTTCTCCCACGCCTCTGGAAGGCCCACACCTCTGGAGGGCCCCATGCTTCTGGAGAGTCCCACACCTCTCAAGGGTTTCACGCCTCTCGAGATGGTTGCAACCCCTGTAATTTCCACGACAGCTGTAGTACCCCAGACTTCCATGACAACTGCAGCTGATTGTGTCTGCCCATCTGACTCTGGTTTCAACTACTTCTTTGCTCTACACATTTTGTATTATGGACTGCCCACTAGATTTATTCTTAGCCCTCTGACTTCCTGTGCTTGACCCCCCCCCCCCCCCCTTTTTTTTCATTCAACCTTTATTTATACAGGTTAATCCTATTGAGCCTTGGGGACTCTTTTGCAAGAGACCTGATATATAGACCCCTGTTTTGCACTTTGGACCACGACGCTGCATTGCCCCACTGTCCACAGCATTAATGGCCTCCCTCTGCAGCTGCCTTCCCACCATTGGCGGTGAAATTATATTATCAATCTCCCAACAGGTGGCTCTCACCTCACATGCCTGAGAAGAATTGTTCCTGCAACTGAAATCTGACTCCCACCAGCCGCTGTAAAACAATATATTTGTTTTTGTTTTTACAATCTTGTCTGGCTGATTCTGAATCCAAACCCTGACTCGACATCCTGATGCATGCTCAAAAATCCAGGTAGGAAAATCCAAAAAAGTTAAATCTGGTCCTCTGGACATTCAAAAAAAACCCAAAACAAAACAAAAAAATTGTAGAAACGTTTCATCTTTCATCTGAAAGACATCCTCAGTCTGAGGTGCTGTATTCAACTCAGTCTTATAAATACCACCTTCTCAAAGTGGATCAACCAGTTTGCTGCTGACAACCAAAACCAGCTGCTCACATAATCAAGGAGGACCATCAGCCAAACAATGGATCGTTTGCACACTGTTGGCTGTTTGCTACTTACAGGGGGCTCAGTGATACTAGCAATAATAGCATTGTAAAAGGGGGGACAGTTGAACACGGAGGCCTTCACCCCTGTTTAATGGTGGATGGTTTATTTTCACAAAGATGGCCTCCTTTACTCCTTTCTCAAACCATCGTTCTTCTCTATCCAGGATGTGAACATCTTCATCCCTGAAAGAGTCACTGTTGGTCTGGAGATAAGTGTAGACTGCAGTGTCCTGGTCTGATGGTGTTGCTCTTCTGTGCTAGGCCATCCTTTTGGCCAGTGGCTGTTTAGTTTCCCCGATGTAAGACTGATCACAGCCCTCCTGACACTGAACAGCATACACAATAGAACTCTCTTTGTGCCGGGGGACTGGATCTTTGGGACGAACCTGTCTTTGCCTTAATGTATTTTGGGGTTTAAAAGCCACTGGGATGTTATGTTTGGAAATTAAACATCTCTGTTTCTCTGATACTCCCTCAACATACGGAATGACCACTGGTCTGGGTTCCTCCTTTTCACCTGATGGCTGGCTGTAGTGCTGTTTGGGTTTCTTCTCTGCTTTCAGGAAGGCCCAGTTAGGATATCCACATTGCTCTAGAGCCTGTCTTGTGTGGGATTTCTCCTTTTGCCTGGCTCCTGAGTAAGTAGGGACACTGTCTACTCTGTTTTACAGAGTCCTGATGACTCTTAACTTGTGCTCCAAAGGGTGATGGGAGTCAAACTGCAAATACTGGTCTGTGTGGATGGGTTTGCTGTACACTTCAGTTTGCAAATGTCCTCTATCAGAAACGGAGATCTCATAGTCCAAGAAAGCCAGCCTGCCATTTTTTACATTTTGTCGTGTGAACTTGATGTATTTATCCACATAATTGATGTGATCAGTGAAATGATGGACTTCCTGAGATTTAATTTTAACCCAGGTGTCATCAACATACTTGAACCAATGACTTGGTGGTGTCCCTGAAAAGGATGTCAAGGCTCTCTTTTCTACCTCCTCCATGTACAGGTTGGCCACAATAGGAGAAACTGGAGACCCCATAGCACACCCATGTTTCTGCCTATAATATTGACCCCCATATGTGAAGTAGGTTGACTGCAGGCACAGTTTCAAGAGTTGACACAGTTGTTCTGTGGAAAGCGTGGTCCTGCTGCTCAGAGTGGTGTCTGATTTTAATCTTAAACTGACCATCTCTACTGCATCATCAACAGGAATGCACATAAAGAGTGATGTGACATCAAAAGACACCATTGTTTCATCAGTCTTCATGAAAGCATCCCTCACCTTATCCACAAAGTCCATGGTGTTCTGTTCTAAGCTACCAACAAAAGAGATGAATACAGATGCCAGAGATTTGGAAACATTGTAAGTGACAGAGTTAATCATGCTGACAATTGGTTTTAAAGGTACACCTTGTCTGTGAATTTTAGGTAAACCATACAGATTAGGTGTGGCCTCCCCTGGGTACAGTCTGTGGTACAGAATATAGTCAATAGCCTTGTCCTGCTCCAAAAGTTTTCAGGCAATCTATTAACTTATTCTTGAAGCCACTTCCTAGATCTCTTTTCAGTTGCTCATAAGTGGTTAAGTCACTAAGGAGTGTCATAAGTTTCTCATGATAGTCCTTCTGGTTCAAAATCACTGTGCACCTTCCTTTGTCTGCTGGGAGAATGATGATGTTTTTGTCCATGCTGAGTGGTGAGTGCATCTCTCTCCTCTCTACTGATGTTGGAAGGTGGTGGTTTGGCATTGCTGAGGCAGGCTGAAACTTTGATTCTGAGCTGTTCTGCCTTATGCTCTTCAATTTTCTTGTTGCGAATGGCTGACTCAGTGGCTGTGATCATCTCCACCAAAGGAATTCTTTTTGGTGCAACCGCAAAGTTCAGTCCCCTGCCAAGAATCTCTGTCTCCGGCTGGGTGAACTGTCAGATAAATTCTTCCCCCAATTTTCTGTCTCCCTGGCATGTAACTGTCTACCAGAGTGTTGTCTTATACTGAATGTGTTGTTATTGGAATTGTGATGGTGTTTACGAGTTATCAGTAAGTTAAACTTGTTTTGTTGTCGAGTTTTGGACTTGACATGTTGTGCATGTTGTGTCGGAGTCCTGACTCCGGACATACAGTATATCATCTATATACCCATAAAAACCCATAATTTGGCCTGAGTAGTATGAATTGCTTAGACCAATTTATACCCCATAGTATAGATTGGCCTATGCTGTATCTGAAATGGGGTATAATTTAGCCTAAGCACCTTTAACCCTAGGTGTAGTCTGAAATTGGGTATACAATGACCTTAAACACTGGGTTAGCTGGTGAACAGGAGTGGCTGGTCAGTGCTAACTAAAACAGGTCTCTTTTGTAAATGAGTCCTTGAGGCTCATTGAGACTAACCTGTATAAATAAAGGTTGATTGAATGTTGCCTTCTGCTGCAAATCAGAAACATGAAAACATTTTATACAGTAGTTTGTCAAAGTTGTTCTCAAGCTGCAATGAAACACCACAATTTCAGTTTTGAAAATGACTTACTTGATTTTCACACTAACTTGTGCTAGCTTTTAATCAGTCACATGGTGAAAATAAGACAAAGAAAATGTGCTTGTGTTTTAAAATCTGCTCTTAATGCCTGTGTTGTCTACCTCTGCCTCTCTCTCTGTTTTTCAGAGTTAAGTCTTGGAGCTTGGGTTGGCATCATCTTCATATTAATCATAGTATTCATCATCACCATCACAGTGACTGTCATCTGCTGTCGGAGACACCAGCGAAGAAACAGAACCCTCCAAACATCCCAATCTTCATCCCCCATTTAAGAATCTGTGTGAACTCTTTTCTTTTTTTCTTTCACATAAGAAACTGGTCTTCTTGTTGTTGTTTTCAATCATGTTACCTTTTTTTTTTTTAAGAAAACATATAACATGCAGTGAGCTCCTCATCTGAAGAACCAACTGTCTGTACATGTAGACAGGCTTCAACTCGATTAGTTTTTACAATTCATTCAGCCTTTATATACAGTGAGGAAAATGAGTATTTGAACACACTGCGACTTTGCAAGTTCTCCCACTTAGAAATCATGGAGGGGTATGAAATTTTCATCTTAGGTGCATGTCCACTGT